CAAAGTTGTCACTGGTCCAAATCATTAGATGTCTTTCATCTTTGCACAACTAATGATATCTTGAGAAATTGGCAACGAGTGGCATCTCCTTCCATGGTGAGGACAATGCAACCATTACATTGATCCCCTACAAGTCCAAATATGATCAGACCAGTGTTATTAAAGCATCTACTAATCATCTCTAAGGGCAATCACCTAGGACAATTGAAAATCAACTAAGTGAACTAGTAGATTAACAACTAATCAACCTAGCCAACCACAAAGTCATTTTAAAGCTTTATCTGTTTTTTTTTCCTTTTTTGATAAAAAGGTTAACTTTCACTGCAAAAAAAAAAAGGATGTACATGATGTACAACAGTAGCAAACAAGAGCAAAAGCCAAAAAAGACCCTCCTAGGCGTTGAGGAGTCACTGCAAAAAAAAATCCCCACACCTGCTTTGGCAAAACCAAGGTTCAGAGCATCGACACAATATGCCCCGTATCGGGCATATCATTTCGTATCGACAGGTGGTTGATATGGATTTTTTAAAGGTATTTTGCAAAAACACTTGTTTTAATAGTTAAATAGCATTAAAAGGGGCCTCCTCTAAAATTTTGAAAAAAAACTAAAAAAATGATGCATGAGGTTCAAAGTACCGATACACCCATTCCAGCATACCGAGGTGTATCGATACTTTGAACCTTGGGTGAAACCATCAACAATAAAATTCAGCTCTCTAGGAATCCACCTAAACTGAAACCAAAATAAACTTAACTTCCACAATCTCATTAAAAAAGTAGTTGTGTCTTCAGGGATCCTCCTTAAAGTTTCTAATCCATCTGATTATAATTTTGGAATCACCTTCCACCACTACCTCAGTGAGGTTAAGAGTCACCTTTGATCTCAAACCCACCAACAAGGCATAGAGTTCATCTTCAACAGCATCTGCCACACCAGTTGGCCCACTAAAAGCCCAGTTAGGGTCCCCAACTCCCCATTAGGCCCCATTCGTTTACCGGTAAATTAACTTGGGAAAGTTGGTCAATGGGTATCTTTTTCCCATGGACTAACTTTACAATGTTCTTTTTGCATTTACTAATGACCCCATGGTAAAATAAGCTCCACTTCCCTGGGTAAAACTTACCCATCTCCCAGGTGGGTAAGTAACTTTCCCACCTGGGGGGAAATTTTATGAAGCGTAATGGGACAACTTTGCCCATTTTTATATTAGCTTTTTATGGGTAAAAATATCATTCTGTTACTTACCTGGGAATCCTGGAAATCAAAAGAAGAACATGGGTAGATGCACTTACCCAGGTAAATGTTACCCAAGAAACATTTACATGGGTAAGTGCACTTACCCAGGTAAGTTAAAAAGATGCAAACGAATGAGGCCTTAGAGTTAATAATTTGCCCACCAAAAGCCCAGATCAGGTCCCCATTAGAGTTAATAAACAGATACCATCCAAACATAAGTATAAACTCCACTAGGGGTCTAGGAGAAAGGCTGGTTCTGATAGAGGGCGCCATTCAAGAAGAATTCAGGACCTGCAATAAATTCTTTTCCAAATCCCCCAAAGAAATGCCTCTAAACAGCTTGTTTGCACTCATCCAAGAGTTAAGAAGCAGCAGAATTCTCCCAAATATACCACATAACAGTGTGCACTACCACCTTACCATACAAGATACCTCTAGGGCCCATTCTACACTACAGCCCATCCATTGCTCAAGAAAATACGCCATGGAGTTGGGGACAGCCCAATACTATCTATTATTATGAAAGAGATCAAGGAAGAACTGCCAAAGGCTGCGGGCAACCTCTCAATTGATAAGGAGATGCCCACAAGAAAATCCCATGAAGAGCTAAGTACCAATATCCTTTTCTCTTCCTTAGAATTCTGTCAAAAGTATTGATTCCTACCCAAGAAGCCTCCCACAAAAAGAAACAAACTAGGAGAGACCATAAGAAGCCACATTTTCTTATGAGGGAAAGAGGGGGTTCCAATGCCTGCCACCAACTTCAGAAAAAAGGATTTGATAGAAAACTGACCGTTTGTAGAAGGCCACCAAACTCTCTTGTCAGGGGACTAAGGTGCGATAAAAAGCAAAAGAAAGTGAAGAAAGTAGAAAAGAGATTAAATGAGATTCAACACTGGTCAAGGCTCTAAAAAAGTTGAAGTTGAAAGAGAGACCTTGCTCCCCTCTGAAAATTACCAAGGAGATTAAGGCCTCCTTATCCAAGGAAAGACTAAAGAGGTTGGGGTAGGAGGAGCAAAGGTGTTGTTGTCCTAGCCAAAGCTCAGTTCAGGATATGATGTGATTGGTGTTACCTAAACAAGAAAGTAACAGAACGGTTAAAGTTAGAAATAATACCATTCCAAGGGCTAATGGAGGAGGTTCTATAGAGGGATAGGTTGCTATACCAACCATTTCCTATTCCTTTCGTATTTACTCCTAATAACAGAAGCCTATAGACTATCTTGCTCCAAGGGAAATCTACACAACCACTTACCCAAAAAAGCAATGTCCCTCTCCTGAATAATGACCCAATCTCAGACCACCCTCTGATTTAGGTTTACAAACCACCCGCCAATTAGTTAAATGATTCCTCCTGTCACCTCCACATTCCAAAGGAAGTCTCTTTGTATCTTCTCTAACCGGTTCCTTATTCTGACTGGAACCTTAAAAACAAAGAGAAAGGCAGGTAGAGGTTGGAGAGAGTTGCCTTAATAAGCATAAGTCTTCCACCTTTGAAAAGATAATTCCTCTTTCAAGATATCTTAAAAATATTAGAATTTGTTTGTATGCTGTTATATTCATGATGTTGCTTCAAATATTTGTGATAGACTATGATTGGATAATGATATTGAAAAGAGCAAAAAGCATAAAATAAAGAAGGCCATGGAATATTTCCTATAAGTTTTCTTTTGATCAGTGGTATCTTGGTATGGAGTTGCCATAAACAAAGGGCACATCAAATAGTCAAGGTTGCACTCTTTGGAAAACAAAAGCCTATCCAGCCTAACTTTTTCTTTGTTTGCAAAGGAAAGACCAATTTAAATGTTCAATATCATTCTTTTCTTGTATAAATGTACACTATTATTAACTTATTTATAAAATTGCATCGATATCTTAAACTCAGAAAATGTCTTTTTTATCTACTAGTTGACACCTATGGACCAACTAATCATCATAGCAACTAGAGAGGCCAGACTGACCAGTCATCACTTCACACATTGATAACAATGGATCAAACTAAATTTTGATGGCTGAAGCATGGGGAGTGCAGAATCATTCGGAACAGGGGGGACTAAAAAATAAGGGGTAATATATTGCCATTATATTCACTTATTCAGGTCCAATGGGGTTACAGGGGCTGAAGTTATGGCAGTTTTACATGGTTTCCTGATAGAAAAATTGATGACCCTCAAGGGAATACTAATTAAAAAGAAACCACATGTGATCATAGGATGGATAAAATAGTTTGGTGCAAGGTCATGAAGATATAGGTATATACTGAGGGAAATCACAAGCCTGGCAGCAGAGTTAAGAGCAGCTTATGGATGGACTCCTAGATCAGCAAGCACTATTGAAGATGGGCTAGCCAAACAAGGAGAAAACTGGGGAGAAATGTATTGGGGTATAATAACTCAAGGGTGAAAGGATTTATTATGTAAAGTCAGTTAGTGATCTTAATTGGCATAAGAAATTCTGATGTACGTATTTCTAATTTTTATCAATAAACAAAATTATACAGTTACCAATCAAAAAAATATTAATCAAATAGCTCAACAGGAGGAAAAGGCCTACATTGCCCATTTTCAACATCTTTTAAACATAAACTGAAGTTTCCTTTCTTCCTCGCATTTTTTCAGGCCACCACCAATCAAACAATAATAAACCAAACTACAAGCTTCTACTGCTTCATACAGTTTCTAAAACCTTGTTTGTCTCATCAGTATTAATCAAAGCATCATCCATATTTTTTATTTTATGTCTCATCAGTAACAAGATCAAAGCTTTTAGGAGTACAGTAGACCTTATGGCTCCAGGGTTAAGAGGAAACAGCCACAAAGAGGCCGACCATTTCCAGAGTTTCTTATAGGATATCCCAGTACAAAGCACCATCAATTCTAGCTATGGGATGAACTACCTAGAAACCTAAGTAGAAGAAGCATTTTGTCAAGGGTGACATCATCTACGGTTACAACAAAAATTTCTTGAGCTTTACAGCTGAACCCCATCTTATCTAACAGTCAGGTGGTAATTTCAGACATTTTTTTATTAAAATAAAAAGGCAAAACTAACTTAACTTAATATGGAAGAGAAAGTAGTATAAAGCCTTGAGCTAGTTCTGAAATTAGGACACTGCCTCATAGCCTCCAAGGCAGTTTAATTTCAAAAGAATGAGACTCCAACCAATTAAATTAGGAGATGGTCATTTCTATTGCTATGTCATCATACCACGAGTTCCCTAAGAGGAAACTTTGACATAATAACAATGGAGCTACCAAGTGATACATTGGGAAAAAATTATATTTGGTCATAGGATTGCAAGAGTAGTATTAATATGATTTTCCTCTAACAACAAGCTCAGTGATTGAGGCTAGCTAATAACCGCTGAGCAAAGTGCAACGAGAAAAAACAATTAGTAATAATAATCAAGCTTACCAGATAATTATAACCCTTCCATTCTTTCGATGGTCATGGATATTTGTTCAGGCAAAATGATTTCTTTTTTTTTTTTTGTTCTTGGATGAACAAATTAAAGCAACCACTAAAAACAGTCAGGTTTCCCCTTCATTGGTTAAGTGAACCAGTGCAAAATTGAATTATTGAAGTACGAACATTTCCCACAAAAAAAAAAAGATAAAATTTTTACCATGAATCTCATATCGTGTCAGCAGAAGGTAGAAACTATAGCACAATCTTTTAAGCTAAGGTGCTCACGAAAAAAAAAAATCTAAAAGATATCATAAAGAAAAGAAGTTGGGAATTTTCCAACAATAAGAAACCTAACCTTCTGGAGATTTGACAATCTCTCATAGAGCTCAAGCACTAGCTCCAAATCAGCATTGGAGTTCCTGTTCTTAATATTGGCAGCGACAGAGTCTTTGTTGTCACGAATCCATTTGAAGTCTATTGCAGCTCTCCACTGAGGCTTAACAACTGAAACGGAGAAACAATTTTGACATAAAGATAATCTTTTAACTCGAATGCAGGTGAATGAACACACTCACGTGGAGAGAAAGAGATACCCTTTTCGTCTTCGTTGGCAATGGATGTAGACTGAAGTGCTGTGGCTGAAAGAGCTCTTGAGAGGAAAGGAAGTGAAGACCTCTGAAAGTGATGATAGGAATGTAGGGAAAGGGTTTTGGAGATACAGGGTCTGAGCATGGAGAAAGAAGATGGAATAGCTACAAGTTTCAGGGTTTGGAGAGTTGACGCTCCAAAACCACACGGCAAACCCATGTCACCACTGTTGCAACTCTGGAGAGAGAGAGAGAGAGAGAGAGAGAGAGAGAGAGAGGGTTTTCGTTTGGGATACCTAGCCGGGTGTTTGGCTTTCACGGCTACAGTTCTTCAAGGAATTTTATCCACTTTGGTCTGAATTTTTCCGGTGCAAACCCCACGAGGGGAAGGGCAGGGGATGAGTCTGAGCCGGGTGACACCTGATAATGGATCGAGTTGAGCTAACGATTGAATCCGATTAGAAAATTTGGTATCCGATAGATATTCCAATTCAAATTCGATTAAATATTCAAATATTTGATTTGATTCAAATTTAACCAATTAATTGTTTTAATTATTTAATAAATATATAAATATATAAATATATAAATATATAAATTATTTATATAATTTAAATATTTTATAGGATAAAATATAAAATCTTCCCCTAAAGTTTTTGACAATTATAAAAATTTCCTTTATAATTTTATTTTCACAAAAACCTCCCTTAAATTTTTAAAGAATTGAACAGAACCTCCCTTCCATCAATAACCCAAACAAAAAACGTTTATGCTTACAAAATTACCCCTGAGACGTCATTTAAAGATTTTGTAAAGTAGCATGGCGCAAACACGTATTCAGCCTCATCGATGTTATTCGGTCCTTCATTTCCTTTCGGTGAGCTTCTCGCCGAAGAAAAACTGATTTTTCCCACGAAGCATCCATTATCCAACTATTTGTCGTTATGCTTGTTTAATCTTTAGCTTATGGAATATTTATTTTTCGTTAATGCAAGCGGGACGTGTCGATGTTGCAAATAATAAAGGGATCAATCTCTATACTCTCTGACGCCGGTCTAATGGCCATGTTCTGGTTAGGTGAGTTCAGTCAATGAAACTGAATGTGTATGTACTTTTGTATAGACAGTTAGGTATATTACAGTGTTAGAGTCAGCCTAAGCACTGGCCGGATACGAATGACCGGCGTTAATAACTTATTAACGGTCCCCTGTGCTCAAACGTTGGTTTCTCAACCATTTGAAAATGGCAAAGAGAACATGGCCATCCAATTTGTGGGCCATGGTTAATGATCTTCTCTAGCCACAAGAAGATTGAATAGAGAGCTGACTAAGGCTTGATGGGATTAGTCATTTACTGCAAGCGACGGCTACGTTGGATGGCAATAGCCTGTGACATTTCTGGTAAATTAAGAGGTGTGTCAATTATCCCAGGTCCATTGACCGAATGTGGGACCAAAGATCACGTTTCTTGTGGTCCTCCTGGTCTTGTGTGGTCGGCTCCATGACTGAAAATGCACCGATTCAGTTATCAGAAGGTCTCCATGACTGAAACTGCACCGGTTTAGTTATGGTGCTCCGGCATGTGGGAGCTTGGTTGCAGCGTTCATCATGGTCATGCGTTTTCTAACGGACCCAACAGTAATGGTTGCGGCTTACGAGGCCATCTCCTCCACATCGCAATTTTACATGTCGAGCTCCCTCGAGGGATCGTCCCTTTCGTCTTCGCCAAAGAGTATAACGTTCATCTGGCAATAAAGAGCTAAGTTCAGATTTGATATGTTGTTAATTTACCGTGTTCAGAAATTGATGTTGTACAACGTTTAAATCTTAGGGTGATGTTTGGAATGTTAATAGCGTTGTCAATCACATTGGTTTATTACCGTGTTCAGAGATTGATGTTTTAACGTTACTCGAAGAAAAGAAAGAAGGCGCAAAGGATTTGGGTGTGTGATACAAACAAGCGTCAATTTTCCTCGGATTTGGGTGTGTGATAAGGGCAATTTCGTAAATGTGGATGAGTAATTTCATAAATAGTGATGTTTTCCGTCTGGGTTATTTTTGTCTAATTATTTAAAAATTTAAAGGAGGTTTTTGTTAAAATCAAATTATAAGGGAGATTTTTATGATTATTAGAAACTTTAGGGGAGGTTTTTGTATTTTACCCTATTATATATTATATAATATTTTAATATTATATATATTACATATAATATTTAAATATTTTTATATATTATATATGAAAATTAAATAATTGGTTGAATTTGAATATTTATCAAACTGAATCAGGTCATATCATCAATTATATTATTTGAACTATCCAAATTTGATTCAATTATGTCAAATATCAAATTTGAAATCAGATTTTCGAATACAAACCCCTAATAAATGTTCATTGAGAAAATGAGCCGCCAATGAAATGAGGAAGGGCAAGGGAGAGGAGACCCAATCTCTCTCTCTCTCTCGTTTTGTGGTACCCTACCCTAACATATTTATTCAAACAAGTGATTTCAGGGCAAAATTTGTTAGAGTAGATTTTGGTGCCAATGTTTGGTCACATTTTCACTTAACTTAGGTAAAGAAAGAAGTGGGACATGATTAATGTTCTCGACAGGTGGGTAAACTTATCCATCCTCTAGGAGAGTATTGGTTATTCAAACAATTGATACTTTTTCGGAAAATTCATTTTCTAAGGGACTCATTATAGTAGCACTCAAAGGCATGGAAGTTGGTTAATTATACCGGCAAACGAACATGGCCTTAGGATTAAAAATTTAAAACTATATTCTAGTATAAAACTCATCTTTGTTTTTTTAAGTGACTCTAACATACCATGTTAGAGAGATGCTACCCTTCCGTTGACCAAAGTTGAAAGATGATGCAAACACCTACCGTGTACTTTGAGAGTAGGTCTACAAACTTTAACTTGTGACACAGAATTATCTTGTAAAATTCCAACATTCTACCCTCATTTTTAGCATTTCATTGGTTTTGAACTTTTATAAGACCATTTTATCATCTCCTTTACTGTATATCCAAAACCTACTGGTAGATGATCTTCCTCTTTTGACTCTCTCCTTATTTTACTTCTCTTTAACTGATGAAAAAAAAAGAGGAAATGTCCAAAACTTGTGTTTTTGTAGATGCATTTAAGTATTGGAATTTATAGTGTAGTCCTTTTTCCCTGGGTATAACTTAACTTTATCGAGTTGAGAATAAATGCTCAAAATATAATATATCAAAAATACCCATTAAAACAATATAATCCAAAAAGCATGGACTTGAATCCAAGGGTAAAAATGATAATGTAAAAAAATTAACCACTTACCCTGAAAAGTAGATAAGACAAAAAAAACATGAAAAAATTGAGAGACCTTATTTTTAACAAAAAAACAGAACATGAATAAATGCATATATCCAGGTAAATGGCCTACTCATAAACGAACAATGCTGATGTTATTTTGCTTGGTTCCAACAACTAAGGTCCCTCTAGGCTTAACTTTCAAGGGGATCTACTTCCCAAATGACAATTCATTTTTAAAATGCCAAGACTTCCAAAAACCACCTCCCAAGTCCCAAGTGGAAGTTCTTTTTTAAAATGCCAAAATCACCATAAACCACTTGTCATTGATAGAAAGAATGGCTCTAATGTCTAAAATTTGCTCGTAAGATTGTTGAAAATGCATCTTGAGTCCTCATAGAAAACCACCCTGGATCAGTATTTTCAACCTATCACTGATCTAGCCGGTTGGACTAGTGACCAATTATATCCAATCAACACATTATATTAGAAAACTATTGACTTGATCAACAACCCATTGACTGAATTTTTCTGGGGAATTATAGTCTGTAATTACCAAGGTTTTTAAAACTGAACCAGACAATGAACCGGTCACGGGTCCGATTCCTAAGCTGAATGGTCCGACCGTTCAAACCAAACGGATGAACCATTATGACAAAAAATAAAAAATAAAAAACAGCCAAGCCATTAGATGGTTCGAATGGTTTGACCACCTGGGTCAGCAGTTTATTGACCAAATCAACGGTCAAAATAATGGTTCTAGGATAAAACGGAATCAGTCACCTGACCAGTTCCCAGTTTGGTTTTGAAAACCATGGTAATTACACACTCGGAAGTGAATGCTTATGGGAGATCTAGCAACGGATCCCATTAATAGGCAACTAGATCCAGCAGATACCAATGTGTAAACGCAGGCTAAATAGCCTTATGAGCTATTGTGGAGCAAGATAATGCTTAATTATTCTCCAAGAAGTGCAAAACTCCACCAAATCACAGACGCCTGACCAGTGAATGAGGAATGCAACAGAGATGCCAAACAATAAACAAGGCCAGAGTTGCGCAAGCCACCTTGTTAAATATGAAACGAAGAGAAAACTCTTAAAGCATGCCTTGGTTGATTTCTATAGCCTGTAGCCTGCTGGGAGTTTCATGCTCAATAAGGTTCCCTTTAAAATTTGACAGTCCTAATTTCAAAATGAAATGTGGCATGGTGGGTTATTTATCAAAAAAAAAAAGTTTGACAGTATTGCAGGAATATAAACAGATGGTAATCCTTTCTATAGGGGCCTATTATTTAGGTTGAATACATCCTTCCCTCGCTTGGGAAATGGGAATTCAAATGAGTCCGGATCTTCTGCCCACGTTTATCGCAGCCACACATGAAGAACATCTCATCCTCTGCATAGTATTATGCAGGGGGAGATGTTCCCAATTCACGGGGGCTGGTGTATTGAGGGTAGGTGTGGACAGGGTTCTCGTGGGCAGGAGATCCGGACTCAACTCAGATCTCCTACCAACATGACACTACAGCTGTGCATTGGGAACATCTCTCTCTGAATGGTAACATGCAAATACAGGAGATGTTCTCAATTTACAGCTGTAGTGAGGCGTGGGTAGGAGATCCAAACTGCTTGGAAAGAGGTGATATAATACTACTTACAGTTGCCTGTGTTTCCTTTATGTCAATGTTGATACCAAGTCATTAAACGAACCACAACTTTAAACCTTTTTATCAAAATCAAACTTCTTCATCCTCAATTTACACTTCCAATAGAATTATTTCCTACCACCCTGCAAACATCCACTCATTATTTCAACATGTTCTAATAATTTTTCCACTGTAATTACCAGCCATTTATAAAACCCAAAACTTTTTTCTAGCTCAACCATAAAACAAACAACTTATCATCCTTAAAAGCTAAATTTCAGATCCACGGTATCATCACATGAATCTTATATTTTGTTCATTAATAAATTTGTAGTTAGTAACTCCTAGAGACCCTTTATATGTCTGCCTCTACCATCAATAATGCCATTATTTTGACCTTAATTTCTAATACCTTAACCTAAACCCAATCTTTCAAACACCTATGATATATACTCACCATGTAATAGAATTTTAATCAAGTCTTATCCATAGGCTTGAATCATAACAAAATTGAAACAAATAATACATAGCACTACTTTTTCTTCGTTTTTCTTTTTTTTTTTTTGGTGGGGGGGTGGGGGGATGGGTTAACAACAACAGTTTAGTAATTTACACATATTTATCACTTATCAGTATTAAATGGGGGATCAAAATGGATTTCACTGGTTCTAATAGTCGAAGGCCCCTCTAATACCGTCAAGGGATTCTCCCATTGATAACCTGAAAATGAGCAAGTGAAAAAGAAAGGGTTATTCATAAAAAGAAATAAGTCAAAATAAACAAAAAATGCAAAAACATCATATCTATAACCTGGTAACATAAATGTTTCCAAGAATAGTTAACCTAAAATCTATTTTCCTTCAAAAGGAACTCTTGACCTCATTTGAAATTAATGTGCAAAGGTTGATAAGTTTTCAAGATTTGTCCATCTGTTTGTCTGTCTGTCTATTATTCCAGATGCTTATCCAATTGACTAGCAAACTGAAAGCAATCAAAATATGCAAGCTTCAAAGACACACACACACACACACACAACCAGTATCCAATGTAGAGATATGAATATTGAATCTTATACTTATGCAGGCAGAATGGATTGGCAAAACAGGATTCATGTAGCCAACCCCGTATAGTTGGGATAAGGCATGGATGATGATGATTACATATGAAGGCATTGTTTGCACTTTCAGCTTAGATTATATAGCATAACCATATTTTATATGAGTTTAAATGAGTTGCAATCATATTAAAGCTTTCATACTTATACAATGAAGAAATGGGGACTCTTGTGTTAATGGTAGGCTGGTAACTGTAGAAACTTGATACAAGGCAGCTTAGTAAAATTGAAGATGATGATCCAATGAGAGTTCAGAGTTTACCAAGAAAACGGTATATGTTTAGAACCCATTACTCTATGAGGGCGCTTGGTAAATAGATGAAGATGTAGAAGCATATTTAGTAATGGAAAAATATGAAGAATTGCATGCAAAAGCTAAACTTTTACTATGATATTCAAATACCATTTGGTGCTTGCTTACAAAAATAGAGAAGAAATAACTAAGGATATTTGCAAATTTTGTCTCTTTTGCAATACCCTACTTGGATGTGGACTTCTCTAGACACTTTTACCTCTGCTTCAAACACTGTAGCAACCTTATTTCACTCTTATCTAACAGAAAACGAAAAAGAAAAAAAAAAAAAATTATTTCACTTCCACTCGAGATACAAGAGAGCCTACTAATAATGTACAGTCATTACTGCAGAAGTCTGCGATTAACATATTCAGACTCACTACTCTTATGTTTTCCCTCCGTGTTCACTTTATCATCACCCCGTGTGTGTGTGTCTTTTGCATATAAAAATTGTAAGTAACAATAATAACCAATCTTGTGCTCCAAATCATTATCTGGGAAAACAAGGTATCAAGAAATTCATATTAGTTTGTTATTTATGAACTACAAGTACCAGTTCCCCCTCCTTTTTAGCAGAAAAACTCCATATTCTTAAATTGGTTTCTTCCCTTTGTATTCACAAGAAGTCAACTAACTGCACCAGTCCAAAACTTAACCAAGAATTAAAAAAGGAATTAAAAAGAAGAAATCAATTCTATCGGAAACCATCACCTGTGCATACAGTACTTGTACTCTTGGCTTCTAATGAAATCTTTCTCTCCTTCTTCAAGCTGACCAGTACACAAATAGTTAAAGCGAAAATTAACATGAGAAATCAAAATAAAATAAAATACCCAAAAGGGCAAAACCCAGAAACAAATTCGTTCAGCCTCAATCTCTCACAGGATCACTTTCGTAGATAAGCTCGTAACAAGCCGGGGAGAGACATCGCAAAGCACAGTTCTCCTTCGCTATGATTGACGATTTGCATTGCCACCCCCAGAGTCCACTGTTTCATAAAGAATAAATAATAACAACTAATCTTTCCCAAAATTGGAGTCAAAAGAAAACTTCTCAAATTCTAGAAAAATCTACCTCTCGATGTCTGCATAACAAGCATCTTTCTTCTCTCTGATCTCTCTATCCTGCGATTTTTCGAATTAAAAGGAAAGAAATAACAACATATGAGGAAAGGAAAGAAGAAACAAAAAGTGAGATGAAAATAGAAACCCCATGTTAATTAAACAGAAAAGAGGTGGAAAATGCATTGGAAACAGAAGCTCACGGATATTGGTCGAGGAGATTTCGCGCTGACAGTATAAGCAAGTGAACCAGCAACGATGATGTATCCTAAAAGAAGAGATCTGATTATTATGAACAAGGAAGGTGACTTATCCATTCAATCAATCTTAAGCAACCGAACTCGCGAAATGATTGTAAGAATCAAAGGAAAAAGATCGACTTCTGTGCAAACGATGGTTTGAATGTCCAGCAGTAGACTTGCGGTTTCGGTGACGGGTTGTTGTTATTTTATTTTAGGGAAAATATATGATACCGCCTTTATTTTATTTTATTTTTGGGTAACTTATAAAAACCCTCCAACATGGGTCGGCCGTCGGCGACAAATTGACAATTACCCCTCAAAGATAAGGCTGCAAGCCTGCAACTTGGGCCGGTTGGTCCGAACCCAACTCTAAACAGTTAAATTGGGTTGGTTCGGATTGATGCTAGGTCAGGGCTAGGGTTAAAATTTATGAGTCCAATTTTACTTCCGATTGTGTCAGGATTGTCTCCTTTGACCCCTGGCAATTCAATCTAATTCTAATCTGACTCTATAGTATATATCATATATATGATATATTATATATTGATTTGTTTAGATGTATGATAGTTGTAAAGCCCCCATTACATACTATCATTTACTTATTTTAAGATAATCACTTCACTTAATCTTAATTTAAAATAATAAAATCTTAATAACATATTTTATGTTTTTAATATTTGATTCTTTATCTCCTCTCTATTGTTTGCCACCTATAGTTGGATCAGTTTTGTTTAACTTGGTTTATTGCTTCATAACCTTCAAATGAGAAGATTAGGTGAAGCCTAGATTCACTAGTGAAGCAACAACTGATGTGGCATTTGATTGTACTTTTCAGACGTCTGAATCTAAAAATGTTGTTTTTCCATACGACACATTTGTTTGGTGTTGCATCTGAAATATGATATGAAAAGTTTTTTCAGATCAGAAATTTTTAGACTTAGGCCCATCACTTAACGCTCTCAAACGCGTTTCAGACGTGGCCTAAAGTCAAAAATACCCCTCCTCATTCGACCTCTCTCTCTCTCTCTATGTCTTCCCACCACTACCACTGCAAATTTGTAGTGGTTATTCTCTCTCTCTCTCTCCCCCTGTCTTCCTACCACCGCTGCTACAACTTGCAACAATGTCAGTTCGATGAGCAATAATAATAATAATAATAATATTAATTATTAATTATTTTTTAATTATTAATTATTTTATTATTTTTATAGTCATTAATTATTTTTAAATTTTAATTATTTCATTTATTAATTATTAATTATTAATTTTTATTTGTATTGTTTCAATATTATTTTGAGGTTGAAAATTATTTTTATGAGATAACGCAAATTGAACTCAACATTTCCAAATAGTATGCTATAGGGGTAAAATAGTAAAATCAGTAAATTTCAGATGGTAAAGGGTTGATCCAAAACAAACAAACTCATGGATTCAAAGCCTCTAAAAAGTAGAAAAGCACCTATACTTCTTTTCAGATTTCAAACACAAAAAATATCTTTTCAACTTTTAAGATCTAAAATTTCAAATTTATCAAACGCCACCTGAGTCTACGAGCTTATCAAGTTCAGAAAACATTTTGGGATGTGCTTGGTTTTACCTAAATGGTCTATCACTCGCTGTGTGTTGCTTAGAACATTATAGAAAAACTGATTATAACAGACATTTTAGATCATTAGAGAGAGATTTAATAGTACTATTTATCAAGCACCATAACAATAGGAAAAGTGAGGGGAATTTAGAATCTAACGACAATAAAGGTAGAAACACTACAAGAAAAATGATTTTTAGCGGTAGTCAAAACTATTGCTAAAAGACTTAAAAATTGCTAATAAAAAGTTTACCGACAGTCGCCAAAATACTGCTAAACTAGGTGTCACTAAAAGGTTATAGTGGCAGTTTTAGCGGCTGCCAGTAGAACACGCTATAAATGATCATTAGCGGCCTACTGCTAAAAGACTTAAAAATTGCTAATAAAAAGTTTACCGACAGTCGCCAAAATACCGCTAAACTAGGTGTCACTAAAAGGTTTAGTGGCAGTTTTAGCGGCTGCCAGTAGAACACGCTATAAATGATCATTAGCGGCAGTTGTGACTGCCGCTAAAGGGTAAGACTGACTCCACGATTTTTTCTAACAACAATCTTGATTGCCGCTAAATCTCTACTTTTTTTTAACCAAAACAACTTGGAAATTATTACTAATAACCTATAATTTAATTGTAATTGGCTACAAATCTCATTTATTAAATAAACTTGTAATTTTATTCATCCAAATTAAAATTCAGTACAAAATAACTTGTTCCTTTTCTTGACAACCTTTGGAACTTTAGTCTTACGGGAAAGAAAAAAAAAAGAAAATTTATTTTGATTAGTTTACGTGCATAGTACACTATAGTCTTTGAACTCTCTTCCTCTTCTTGTCTTCTCATATACATAGTTGTAAGTAGACAATGCTTCATATCTTCACTGTCTTCTTGATTGTCTTGATGGATGACTTAGTAAAGTTTGTTCTCATGGACTTACTGTGTTCTTCAAACTGCTCTCTCATGTCTTCTTCTATTTCATTTTGTATTTCCTGTTCATCAAAATAGTAACCAGCTTTAGATGCTTTTTGCTCTTCTTCAAGACTCTCATGTCTTCTTCAAAGCTCATATGCCCCTTAGAAATTGATGTCTAGATGTCTACAAACCTGGGCAAAGACACACCCAGCCATAAAAGCATTATATCCACTTGCTCAGATCAAAATTTTCACAGGAACATTCTCATCTTTTACATTGCTCTGCAAGGGTAACTCAATTACAGGATGATCATCAATTAGCACATTATTAGCTAATCCATCTGGTGTCACTGGTTTTGGAGATGTTTCTACATCTAGTTGTTTGGACACTTACAGTGACTTAATCAATTGCCCCTTTTGCATATACATAGAATATGGGTTGCAAACAGCATGTGAGTGTTGCAGGCTGCAGAGTTGAGAGGGTTTAGGGTTCCCAAAAGTGGTTTCCACATGGGTTGGGAGAGCATAACTGCAGCAGGACTTTCTTGGTGCCATTTCAATCATAGAATACAAAACACAGTAAAGACATCTCAATCGTATAGCAAACAAAACAAAAAGATTTGCGCTATGGTGTATAGTGTGCATAAACTGAGATAAAGCAATAGACCGTGAAAGTCTGTAAATTGCAAGGATAGGAAGAGATTTCTTAACAAAGCTATGGAGCAGAGGAACAAATTTGTCTCTGCACACTGCTTATATATGGTTCTTAAAAGTTAAAGCGAGTCTCTATTTCACTTATTAATTATGTTGATCAGCTTGAACAGTCGAACATTGAGTTTTTGTTGGATTCATAGTTTCAAACATTACACCCATAGTCCCATCTTTGACACCCACAAAGAAGAAGAAGAAGAAGAAGAACGACGAGGCTGGACTCACCTATTCTCTAGTTGTGACTGGTTGTAAGAAGCTACCTTGGAGAGGGATATTCAGTGTGATGGCACTACCTGTGTGGTACTATTATGTGAAGACTGTATGTCCCTCTCTTGTAGTTCAGTTCAAGGTAAAAGACAATGAAAAGTGTCTTCTCTTGGAGGGTAGTTCTAGCATTTTTTAAAATTTTAAGTCACATATTTCATCACGTGGTACAGATAACTGGTAGACTGCTAACGACATGGACTAAATTGATAGTTTTTGAGAGTCCAGGTATTATAGTGGCATGTTTTGAAGCTCGGGCACTAAACTGAAACTACCCCTAAAGTATAGGGTATTAATTTGTAATTTTCCCTAAAATAAATACTCACATGATTTTTTTTTCTTTTTCTTGCCCTTTTCTTTTAAACCCTAATTGACCTAAAAAATACTTCCATTTTCTCTAAATGAAACCAGAAAAAATAACAAGAATTATTTCATTGGCAAAGAACAACAAGTTTCTTTTAATTCTTGTTTCACTTCACTAATATAAATGTCTCTCTTAATCTTAAAATATAAAAATTATCTATTCCTTTTTCCAATAAATTAAAAAAAAAAGCAAAATCTTAAATCTATATCTATGACAAAGAAACTTCTACCATTTAATTTGAATGATGATTCCAGCTTGAAATCTACAATGATCTATTAAAACAAATGAGAGGACTTCAATATTATATTTAGAAAACTAATTGAATCATAAATAAGGGTTAAATTATAGATGGGTACCCTTTACTTTGGGGTAGTGACGATAGATAGTTACATTGAACTTTCAAAAGTGACACTTGAGTACCTTGAGCTCCCAAAAATAGATACCATGTGTCCATTGCTGTTAACCAACATTATGATGTGTGATAAAATTATTGAAATGGCCATATATGTTGTGAATTATTGAAAAAATAAAAAAATGAAAATGACCAAAACAAAACAACCCTAGTTAAATGACATATTTTTCTTACATGAGAATGATCTTAGAACAATCACACATAATAATAAAACTTGAAAAGGAAATTTGAGAAGAAAATTATGGATTCCAAAAATAAGAACCTAAGATTGAAGAAATCATAACTATGGTTTCATATAGGAGAAAGGGCAATACCGTTTCAAATAAAAAAATAAAAAATAAACCTAAGAATGAAACCCCTTCTCTTCTTTTATTGATCCACGTTTGTTGTAGTTCAGTCTTGATAATGAAATTTAATTTTTTATTTTTTTAGTCCATGTCATTTGTTTGCTTTTTTGTTTTTTTATCCCATCTCATTCTTACAAACAACCAATAAATACTTCGATTCCCCTCTATTCTCTCCCTCAACCATATGTATAAAAAAAAAAGACTCATTATTCTCTCCCAAATTATCTCTAATTCATATTTATCCTCTCCCTTCACCAAAGCCCCACCCATTCATACTCTTGATTTATAGGAACTTCTAAATTATCACTAACACCCCTCTATTCTCTCAACTTTCCCATAAAAATAGAGCCCCACTTAATAAGATTTGGTTTCCCAACTCAAACTCTTCAACATTCTTCTTGGGATAATTTGTGAGTTTTCTTTTTCATTTTTGCTTTTTTTTTATTTAAAAAAAAAGCTCCTAGAACTGGTATAAAGGCATTTTAGGGTCCATATTGACCCATTTAGCAACTAACATGAGAGTCAAGCCAACTAATTAAGGTGGTGTTCGGTGGTGTGGATTGGCCACGATATATTCAGTTTCAATCCGCACCAGCACCACCTCTGTGCCATGCGTTCGATTGGCTGTGGTGTGGACCAATCCACGCTATCTCGTTGATTGGTTCACACCATAGTCCATTTTCTCATCCACAGGTTTATCTCGTGGAAGCATCTACACCACACCATTTTGCATATGGAATAACGGTCTCATACTTCGCATGGATGTTTAACCCTAATATAAGACCACTTTTCTTTTTACCGTTGCAACACTTCTTTGTGAGCTCGTTGTTGCCATTCTTCTCTACTCGTCATTGCTACTCTTCTCTATTTGAACTATGGTTGTAATCGGATCGGATGCAACATAACCCACATTCAATCCAATTATTGAGAACCTACATCTGAATCCGAATGTCTTGGATTTAAATTCAAATCCTAATGGACTTGATTCAGATTCAGATTTAATCCAGATCCGCTATAAATTTCTAAAATACCAAAAAAATAATATTTATTTATTTTTCAACTTTTATATATTATAAATTAATATAAATATAACATACTAAATTATTATATATAAATTCATACATAATATAATATAATATAATTTTAAATATAACTATATAAAAATTATATATTAAAATTAATAAATATTATAATAATTGGTTTCATATTTTAATCAAGTCAAATGAGGTCAAATCTGAATCCAATCCGATTATTAATTGGATGTAGATTGTAACATTTGAATCCAATCCGATTACATAAATGCATCATCTAAATCCGAGATAATCGGATCGGATGTTAGATTAGGCCTTGGATTTTTGGGTATCATTGACAAACCTAAGTGGCATTCGGTAGTGTGTAAATATCATGGATAGAACCACTTTGGTCCTATCCACAGTAAGATATGGTGTTCTGCTATGTGTGGACAATCCCCATCCACAAAATAGCGTGGACAGGGACGGGCCACACCCTAATTCATCGACTATAGTATTTTCTCGTGGATGGTCCATACTATGGTGTGGATAGTTTGTGGAAGGTTTCAGTGTAATGCACCTGTGTTACATTGGTCCAATTACTTTCATTTTATTTAATATTTTAATAATTTTTAAATTTTTAATATTTTATCAATAAAATAATAATTTTTTAATATTAATTCTAGCACAAGTAAAATGGATCTCCTTTTCAACTCTTTTTACATTATTTAAATATTATTTTTTAAAATATTTTTATCAATAAAATAATAATTAAAATATTATTTTTTATTTTTAATATTTAAAATATTATTTTTTTAATTATTTAAAAAATGAAATTGTTGTCCACATATTGGTCCACACCACACCTACAGAACACCACCATGGGTGTGGATTAGTTTGGTCCACACAATCTATCCATAGTTCAGAATAGTTGTGGACTGTGGTGTGGTGTGGATTGGTCCCTGCCACAAGGGGTGGTGTGGACCAGTCCACACCCACCAATATCTCATCCACACTACAGAAAACCCCCTAGTTTGAACCACTGGCCAGTCCTCCTCTGACCACTACTGCATCGGATCGTCGATGGTAATTGATAAGTATTCATCCTTCATTTATTCTCATGCTATATTACTCTTCTCTATTTGAACCACTCGCCACTACTACTCATGTTTATTAATTAATATTAATAATATTTTACTAATTATTGAGTTTTAAATATTACTTTTATTAGTATTAATAATTAATATTAATTGTTATTGATATTATTAATTATTATTAAACTTGTCGTTAATATTATCAATTATCGTTAATATTACTACTCATTTTTTATTAATATTAATATCATTATTTGTTATTTAATATTATTAATTATTACTAATATTATTTTTATTAACTTAAAATTCTTAGAAATTTACCAATATTTTTCTATTGTGTATATTACAAAAAATAATATATTAATTTTTAATGATTAACGACATAGATTATCTCAAATGTTGTAGTTAAGATGCATGTGATCAAATACAATGTGCAGTCTGAAATATGCCACACCTTGCAGAATGCCCATGGAGGTGTGGTGTGGATTAAAACACACTACCCAATTTCTCATCTACGCTATAGAACACCCCCCTAAAACAACTATCTATAGGTTTATACAATTATACATGACTTTCCATTTTAAGTTAATATTTACCCATTTAAAGACAAATGAGGGTCATCCCAATTAATAAAAGAGTAATGAACCTTTTTTCACTTTACATTTTGTTCATAACCTACATGTTCTTGTTTGTTTTAAAGGTCTTGTTGCACACAAAACAAGAGCAACACGAATTTATCATGCATGGGAATTCAATATTGAATTTGGATGGGCTCCCCATTAAGCATGCCCCACAAGACATCCTAAGTGTGCATTGGGAACATCTCCCCATGACATGAATGCACTTCATAAAAACAAAGAAGGGAAAGTTTGTGTGAGTGAGGTGGTTAGGCTACGTACGAGGGTTTCTTTGAAGGACAAAAGAAAGTCGAGTGTAGGAGGTAGGCTAAGGACTAGTGTAAATGAGGTGATCGATTGATCCCCTCGTTATGAGTCAGATTCCCATTTATACGGAGAGATACCGAGGTCCCAAAAGGAAGGAGCCAAAAGTGTTTGGTTCCAATTAGGAAAGGGAATCTTGAATTCAGTGTCAGTTGTGAGGAAACACTGATAGGGTTTCGCCATGTGTCTTATGAGATATACCTCAAAGACGAACTTTTCTTTCGTCTGAAGATTCTCATAATACACGTGTGCCAATTCCTTTCATGACCCTTTTAGACCGACGTGCTGTGCATAATGTCATTATTTAGATCGCATGTCCTCATTTGGCCTACGGGACATCCTGCCACATGCGTTATTTAATGACGCACATGCTTCTATTATTTGTTTTCGATCTATGGTGAGTCTGCGCTCGATGCGGTTCTACAATGGTTTTTGACTCATCGTAAGTCCTTGCGGGTCCAAAGCTCATCGCGGTTTTGCAATGGCTTTAAACTCGTCGCAAACCCACACAGGTCCAAAGCTCATTGCAACCTATTTCGGGTGTGAGTTCATCGTAGATGTGTGATGAGTTATGAACTCACCACAAGCATTCGCAGAGTATTAGTTTGACACCTCCTATGTTATGATGGTGTGAGTGACCACTATGTACCTACAGTTTGTTTCCATTGTGGTTTAGAGTTTTGAAAATATGGGTACAACTTTCCTTCTAGATGGAAGACTAGTACCAAAAGAACACTCTAGGAAGTTTGGGAATCTGATACCATATCCTTCCCATTTCATAGATTTGCTTGTGTTTCTAGTAAGTTCATCTGGGTTTTGTTTTGAAAATTTTAGGAATAATGAAGGGCAAATTGAACACTTTGCCTTTTCCATTAATGTTTAACAATGGTATCAAGGGGGTGTTCTTTTTTCTTTTTCTTTTTTTTTGATTTTGAGAGGGAGAAAGTTGGTGAATCGCATTGACCAAGAAACCCATGTTCTTTTTTCAGATTTATGTTATCCTTTACCCGGGCAAGCGATACCCATCTTCTAGGTGGGTAAATAACTTTTACACTTAGGAAGAAAGTTGCCAATACTTGAATGAGACACAAAATGTCCCTTTTAATAATGAATTTTTATGGCTAAAATGGTCATTACCTTATTTACATGAAAAATAAGAGAAGATGGGTAAATGAACTTATCATAAGTGTTTCGCAAGAAAGACTTAGTCGGGTAAGTAGCTTATCCGGATAGTGGTATTTTAAGTATTTAACACTAAAATGAAACCTGAATCAAAATAAAGCAAAAGTCCAAGTAAAAATAAACCAACATTTACAATTTTTCTCATTTGCATTCCTATGCAATTGTACTGGTACAAATGAAGTTGCATTGCAAAGTTTTTCCTATTCAACTCGCATCTGTGTAACATATTTCGGATGGAACTACTCTCTCCCTCTCCCCCCCTCTCGCAAAAAGTTACATTTCTCATTCGGGGTGGCCGGAAAATTTGCAGCTGCCTCCCTTCTCTCATGCGGTTGCTTGACCACCGGCGATCAAAATGGTCCTGGTCCGAATCATCGGATAGAACCCAAAGCAAACCCCGCATGATGACAATGATGCTGTTTGAAGATTAAGAGTGGAGCAGGAGGCACAAAACGACACCCCGAAACAATAGAATATTCGCTAGAAAACCTTAACGACGGCATCTAGAATGGAAATGGAGTCACACGCGAACCAGAAGAGCGATTTTCACTCTTTGAAGCTCTTGAGGTCGATGCCATGGCACCCTCTTCCTCGTCACGGGCGGGGGCTGGATGGGTCTCTACATCTCCAAAACGGACATTCCTGCTTCCACCACTCGGAGGATCCACCGGTGTGGACTCTGCGGATGCGGCGGTGGCTTTAGTCTGGGCCTTAGCCGCGATTGCTGGCGCTGCTGCTTCTCCATGATTGCCCTTTTTGGCAGCATAGTATTCAATGTCATCATCGGGTGGTCCGGAATTTCGATTGAAGCATGTATAGAAGAATACTACGATCCAAAACGCCCATGGAATGGCCACAAGCACGAGTCCTGCAACAGGATACCATTCTGTAGATTTTGTTACCGGGAGGGTTAGAAACACTCCGCCACCTATTATACAGACAAGGAACAGACATGAAACCAAATATATTCGGGGATCGTCTTTCCTCTCTTCGGCTGCTGCCATGGGTTGCAGGCCTAAGATCGATCGATATTCCTTCTCTCCCTCTCTCTCTGAACCAGATCGTGGAGGCAAAGTTCTAGGCACCAGATGATAGAGTCAAAATACTGGGGAAGGGATCGTTTCTGTGCACTCCGGATCCAATGCGTTTGAACCCGAAGGGATTTTTAGTTTGAATCCACACGTCAAAAGCAAGAGAAGTGGAATCGGTTGATATGGTCAGATCCTTTTTTCTATTAAGAGAATAAAAGATTTTAAAATAGAACTATAAAAAATAAAAGCACTTTTTAATGAAGGGGACGAGTTGAGAATCCCTTCTTCCTCAACTCCAGCGAGGGCTCAAATTTGTTGTCATGCATCGCCATCGTTGTTGTCGATCCTTAATGCATGAATCAGAAATAGGCATCCTTTCTGCTCGGAGAAATAGGCATCCTTATACGATGATCCTCTTTCGTATAAAGCTGCCGTTCTTTGATATATTTTAAAAAAAGATGCCCGAGCCTGGTTATTATATAAAACTAGCAGGACCCGTGCTATGCACGAAAAAGAAATTTTGAAAGATTTAATAATTTTATTTACTATTAATTAATATTTAATTAATAATCAAAATGTGATGTTAAATAACAAAAAGTATTCAAAGTTATTGTTAATATTTAAAATTTTAATAATTATATTTTTATTTAATGTTGATTTATAGAAAATAATTATTGTTAATTTAATATGAACAAATATTTTTTAGTAAATTTAGTTTTATTAATAATTCATAGTAATTTTAATAATTGTTATTATTTTTAAATTAAATTTTGGTTAACTTTAAATAAATAAAAATAATTATAAAATCTAACATTTTTATAAATTCCACTAATAATTAACAAATATATAGGAATGACAACGGGGTGGATTCAGGGCAAGGCACCCCACCCCTATCCCAACCCCATAGTCAAGACACTCTATCCCATCCCCGCCCCGTCCCCAATGTCAGATGGGTTCAAGGCAAGGCAATCACTCCTCAATGTCGGGCGAGTTTAGGGGCAAGGCACCCCACTCCTCATCAAGGATGGGGAATCCTCGAATTTCACCGCCCCATCCCCAGCATTGGGCGAGTTCAAGTAGAGGTGTAAACCGGGTCGTGCTAGGCCGAGCACTTGGGCTAGGCCAGGCCGTGGACCGAGCCAAGCTATGAGAGGTCCATTTAAAAAAACCATTTGTCGTTTTAACTTGGTATCAGAGCCATGTCGACAAAGACAAGTACTCATGGTAGCAATCCAGCAGCCTCCAACAGTAGCTCAACAATGAGCAGCTTGCTCCCTTCAATCCAGAATGTTACTCATTATCTTTCTATCAAACTCGGAAGTGACAATTATCTATTGTGGCACGTCCAGTTCCTTCCTATTCTATGACACCATCATCTGTTGGAGCTTGTGGAAGGGAAGAAGAAACTCCCGCTTGAAGTTATACCAAATCCAGATGGTATAGGAATGATTGTCAACCCAGAATTTGAAAAATGGACGGACATAGATCAACTTGTGTTAAGTTGGTTGATCTCCTCTCTCACTAAAGGCGTTATGGTGCAAGTGGTAAGTCTGTCGACATCATTAGAGGTATGGACTTCCCTTGCTCACAGTTATTCCACCCACTCCTATTCTAGGGTACTATAGTTGCGGCGACAACTGCAAAATCTCAAAAAGGGATCTCTCTATTTCTGCATATATACAATGAGCCAAATCTATTGTTGATAGCCTATCTACAATGTCTGAACCAGTTCTCAAATCAAAACAGGTACTTTATATTCTTTTTGGCTTAGGAAGCGAGTATGAGTCTGTGGTTACAACACTTACTAACCGACCAGACACAACAAAGTATGGCGTTGCAGACATCATGGGAACTCTTCTGAATCATGAAAGCAGGCTTGAAAATTTAGCTCTCGCCTCTGACTGTGCAAATTTGGCAAGTGTTCCTCCCAAGAAAAGTAATCCTCAGAAGCCCCCTCAACAATTTTCTCCAAATTTCAATAATAATAAAGGCAAGGGGCATGGACGTGGATCTCCACAATACAATCACCAGTCCTTTCAGAATCAACCTCAACAGTTTTTCTAGAGGACGTGGTGGTAAGAATAATATTACCTGCCAAATCTGTAATAAATTTGGACATAGTGCTCTGTAATGTCACAAGGTGAAATATGCTTTTGGTTTTACTATTGATAATTCCTACAATGAGCCATTTGCTTTCCATGGAGGCATCAATACCCCTTAGTATCAATATGAAAATAATTTCAATCCCAACTAGTATTCGGACTCTGGAGCTACCCATCACATGACTCCAAATTTAGAAAATCTACAGAATCATACTAAGTATACTGGACCGGATCAGGTGAAGGTCGGCAATCGTACTAATCAGCGTGCATTTTCTTTGAAAAATACCTGCCATGTTCCCTCTATTTGCAAAAATTTACTATCTGTTAGTCGATTTACAAAAGACAATGATTTATTCTTTGAATTTCACAGTGACTGCTACTATGTGAAGGATTATACGGGGAGAATCCTGCTTCGAGGGGTCAGTAGAGACAGATTATACAACTTTCCTCCTTCAGCCACAATCACTCCAGAAGCTCTTATTGGGGAACGCACGTCACTTCATGGTTGGCATCTTCATTTTGGTTATGCAGCTATGCGTAATGTACGACAGGTTATTTCCAAATTTGGTCTTCCGTTTACTAGATCTAGTTTTAATGATTTAGTGTCAAATGGGCAAAAGTCATAGATTTCCCTTGAAGTCATCTAGTTCTCAGTCAAAGCGTCCATTAGATTTAATTTTCTCAGATGTATGGTGACCTGCTCCCATTAAATCAAATAGTGGATTTTCTTATTATGTTATTTTTATGGATGATTTTTCGAAATTCTCTTGGGTGTATCCTATGGTTCGAAAATCAGATGTATTTGATTTATTTATTAAATTCAAGAGACATGTACAAGTTCAATTTGATGAAAACATAAAAGTGCTTCAATCTGATTGGGGTGGAGAATATCGCTCCCTGTCACGGTATCTTGATTCTCAAGGAATCACACATCGATTGGCATGCCCTCACAAACATGAGCAGAACGGATCAGTTGAACGGAAGCACAGACACTTGGTCGAATATGCTTTGTCTCTACTGGTCTCCACCAATCTTCCCTTCTTCTGTGTTGACGCAGTTGAAACTATAGTTTTTCTGACTAATCAACTGCCAACTGAGGTACTGAATAGTATGTCCCCTTATGAGAAGCTTTTTCAGTCATCTCCGGATTATTCTTTGCTGCGTTGCTTTGGTTGTGCTTGCTATCCTTTTCTGCAACCCTACAACAAGAATGCATTCCAGTTTCGGTCTCTCCGGTGTATTTTCATTGGTTACAGTACCTCCTACAAGGGGTACCGCTGTCTACATTTTCCTTCAGGGCGTCTCTTCATAACTCAGTAGGTTGTGTTTGATGAGAGCTTATTTCCAAGAATTGGTGAAACAACCCCTTGTTACAGTCTGACACAGCCTTAGCCTTGCCTACGCTTGGTAGGCTTACGTTAGGGACATCACCGTCATTTTCGCCTGTAAGATTTTTGGGAGAATTGATGTTATCTTCAGGCAGACCACCAAAAGCTTAATGTACTCTTTGAGGAGGGGTGGTCGACCTCCTTGGTGCCTAACCTTGGCACTCCTAGACTAGACCTGTTCATCGGGCCAGCCCGTGCCTGACCCTCGGACGGGCTTGAACATGCTTATAGGCCTGCGGGCTTAAATTCGGGCCAAAAAGCCCGGCCCGCAATAAATTCGAGCCAGGCTCTGGTTTTGTCAAAATAGCCTGGCCCGAGCCCGGCCCGACCCGACCTAATATTAAATTTAAAATTAGTTATGTGATTATGACCATTTGAAAAAAAAATTTTGAATTAAGAATGTAAAATTGTGTTTTAAAATATAAAAGAAAGGGGAAAATACCATCTTGTAGGCCCATTGTTCATTTAAATAGAAAAAAAAAATACTATCTGAATTTTTAATTCTAATTTGAATAGGGAAAATTGTTTCTTTTTTTTTCAATTAGGTCGGGCTTCGGGCTCGGGCTCGGGTTTCGGGCTTTTTACCAAGGTTGGGCTCGGGCCCAAGTTATAGGCCCGTTGGTCGGGCTGGGCTCGGGTTCGGGCCAAGTATATTTTCATTACTGACAACTGAAAGCCCGGCCCAACCCAGCCCATGAACAGGTCTATCCTAGACCATCATCCCCTTACGGGGCAAACTTGGTTAATGGCTAGCATGGCTACCACGGTTCCTCATGGGCGCACACATGCTCATGGGGACAGTGTTGGACCGGCACTGCGCTGCCGACACTCAAGGGAGGCTTGGCATGCGGGCCTGGCTCAAGCATGACCCTTCACCTCGCCAACCCCTTGCCCAAGCTGATTGAGCTATCCCATTGCCCCTAGCGCACGGTTGTGTTCCGGCCCAAGCGGTTGTCTATCAACATGGCACACCGGTGCCCATCATCATCGGCATACAGGAGACCCTTCACATCGGTGCCAAGTCACCTCTTCGGCGCACAATTTCCTTGCATTATAGTTGTCCCCCTTTAGCACATAAGTGGCGCCTTCCATGGACCAGTCTGAGCCAGCCTAGTGCCCCGACCATTGGACTTAAGGTCATGATCGAGTGCTACTGACTTTGGTGGAGCCATCCCATCGGGCAACTCCTAGCCTCTAAGCGCATAAAGGCTTGTCCTGACCTAGCGTGGCCTGGATGCCGCACGGGTTTCTTCCACTGTAGAACTACCCCCGTGACACCCTAGCACCTCTCTTGCTCCTTCAGGCACTTTCATCACAATACCAGCTCCTCGGAATTCCGAACCTTCATGTCCATCATCTTTATTACAGCAGCACCACCCTCCAACTTCTCCTGAATCCAGCTCCAGTTCAGCTACTACCTCTCCAGTTTTAGGACCTCCGGATCAAACTTCTTCCGATCGACCACAAAGGTACCATAGCATTT